AGAAAAATATCTATGACATCTAGACCCAAGGTTTTCAAGTAATCCATGAATCCTTTGACATCTTTCACTTCTCAAACCGGAAATGTATTTTCCCAGATGTTATTCACCATCAACCTCTGTGTTTACCTTCCTGTTGAAGCCACCAACCAAGTATATGTTGACCTTTTTTTAGAGGATCTTGTCAAGGACGCTGTAGCATTTCTCTGTTTTTCAATAATAATAACAACAGTAATAGTAACAGCAGCTAGCATTTCTGTAGTACTTCAATATTTGCTTTACAAATATTTTCTCATTTTATCCCCACAACAATGCTGGTCGGTAAGTATTATTATTATCCTCATTTTACAGAGGAGTGAACTGAATTTGACAGGTGAAGTGAACTGTCCAGGGTCACACAGCTAGAAAGAGTCTAATGCTGAATTTGAACTCATGTCTTCCCAACTCCAACTATCCATTGTACCACCTAGCTTCGTCCTCTTCCGCAGAAGTTTGTCCAGAAACTGTAATCATCTTCACGTTGATCTTTCCCCACATATTTTGCAGACATTTCACAAAATACCCACATTTCCCATGACCTAATGTTTCATGTTACTTTTGGGTGCACAATGAAATCCACTCTGCCAACTCTTTTCCTTGAATATCCAAGAAGAACCCATATGCCATCCTTCTATTTTGCTACAACTTATTTTTGTATTTTGGATTCTTTTTTGGGGAGTGGTGGTGGCAGATGTGTGATTTCATAGGAATAGTTGAGGAACTCATGCTACTAATGTAGATTGGTTTTCTGTTGAGTCCTTTTTCAGTCGTTTCTGACTCTTCCTGACTCCATTTGGGGTTTTCTTGGCAGAGATACTGGAATGGTTTGCCATTTCCTTGTCCAGCTCATTTTACAGATGAGGAAACTGAGACAAATAGGGTGAAGTGACTTGCCCAGGATCATACAGGAAAGTGCCTGAGGCCATATTTGACTCAAGTCTTCCTGACTTGCCAGGATCACAAGGCCTTTACGTGTCAGAGGTGACACATGAACCCAAGTCTTCCTGACTCTGAAGCCATCTCTTTATCCAGTAATTATGAGAATATCCATCTTGGTGGATTTGATTTTTCTAACAGCATTTCCATTCAGTGGTCATTGGATCATGGACTTACAGAGCAAGATTTCTTCCTTCTTTCCTTCCTTCCTTCCTTCTTAATTTCCTTCTTTCCTTCCTTCTTTCCTTTCTTTCCTTTCTTTTAGCTCCAGAGCCTAACATGGCACCTGGCATATAGTAGGTACTTAATAAATGCTTGTTAATTAAGACAGTTAAGTTACTATTGATAGTCAACAATTATTGAGATTTTGAGTACAGATTCTCGTATTTTCTTCAACATTCAGCTCAATGGCCACTTCCTGTGTGAGAACTTTCCAGATCTATCCCCACTGTCCTACCCCACCCCACAGCTATTAGTTCCTTCCCTCAAGAAACGACCTTGCACTTATTCTGAATATGTGCACAGATGTATATAACTGGGGACTGGTGCTTGCACAGCGCCCAGCAGCTCCCCTCTGCTTCCGTGAGAGTTCCCATGATGGAAGCATCTTTTCTCTACTGTGGAGCCTGCATGGACGGTAATGACCTGGCCAAGAGCTGATGGGCCATGGAGACGTTGAACAAGACGCTTCATCCTGGAACACTCTCCCCGCTCTGGGCTGACTACTGACCTCCCTGGCTTCCTTTAGGGCTCAGCTGAAATCTCCTATGTTACAGGAAGCCTTCCACAACCCTTCTTAATTCTAGTGTCCGCCCTCTGTTAATGATTTCATATTTAGCCTGTATAGATCTTGCTTTGTATAGATTTGTTTCAATGTTATCCCCTCCATTAGCTTCTTGAAGATAAAGACTGTCTTTTGCCTTTTTTTTTAGGTAGCATCCCCAGTGCTTAGCACAGTGCCTGGCACACGGTAGACATTTAACAAATCTTTATTGATTGATTGAAAAAAGGCCTGCCAGCACTGGCTGCTTTCTTTTTTGGGGGACAGCTTCAGCTGTAAGGGGAGAGGCCTATGGTCTCACGGGAGGGCTTTGGTCCTTGGTGTCTGGCTTTGCCCTTTTTCATTCTCTGTGAATGAAGTGGAGCCTCCAGGACCCTGTGGGTTAGAAGCTGCTCCAGGATATGGGCAAGCCAGAGTCTGGGTTCCAGAGAAGTGACAATCGAGGCCCTGGCCAGTGGTAGCTGAGGCATGGGTTGATCCAGCAGTCATCCATCTATCTGAACAAAACTTGGTGAGACCAAAACTCTGCAGGAACTCCGCTAAATTACTGCCTAGAGATGGAGGCAGTGCAGGAAAGAGTGTTGGGGGAAATGGTTGGACATTTGTTCTTGCCCTATCGTAGGAGTGAATACTTCTTTGTAAAAGTCAAACAATGTTAAGTGGTTAAATGGAATTGGAACAGTAAGGGGACACATCGGGCAGAGGCTCTAGCCAATGCTGGCAAAGATACCCCAATGCCTCCAGGTTACCCTCGGAATCCTGGGGGGCAGATGTAGCATCCTGGCTCTGTGTGAGAGAACTAGAGCACAGTCATTGCTCATGAATGTCATTTCACAGATAAAATTAATGCTTGGGAAATGTTCTGTGTTTGCCTCTGCATCCAGAGTGTCTAGAACCGTGTCTGTTACTTAATAAATGCTTCCTAATTGATTTGCATCCTTTTCAGTCACTCTGCTGCTGTCACTGGGAAGCCTGGGGACTGAGCACCATTTTGTTTCACCAGTTAGAGAACTGAAGAATCTGAGAGTGAGAAGACACCTTGGCAGCTATCTGGCCCAGCCCAGATGTGAAAGGAATCCCTGCTGTAATACTGCCAATACGTGGTCTGCCAGCCTCTGCTTGAAGTCCTCCTAGAAGTGAGACCCAATTACCTCTTGTGGTTGTCCACTGGACTTTTGAACAGCTCTGATGATTAAAAGCTTTTTTTGGCAACAACCTAACAGTGAACCTGCAATGAGGTCCTGGTTCTGCTCTCTGGGGCCAAACTGAACAGATAAAGTACCTCCTCAAGCCCACAGGCTTTCTGTTCTTGAAGGCAAGCTCCTCAGCCCATCCTTATGTCATGGACTCCAGTTCATTCATCTCCTTTTTTTTCTTTCTGCACATGTCCTTTATAGTTTAATTGGGTATTTATAATAGTCAAAATGACTTATTTGCTCAGTCATTCTTAAAACAATATTGCTCTTACTGTATACAACATTCTCTTAGTTCTGCTCATTTTGCTCTTCATTATTTCGTGCAAGTCTTTCCATGTTTTTCTAAGATCCTTGAGCTCATCTTTTCTTACAGCACAGTAGTATTCTATCACAATCATATATCACAACTTGTTCAGTCATTCCAAAATTGATTGGCAACCCCCGAAATTTCCAGTTCATTGCCACCACAAAGAGAGCTACTATAAACATTTTAGAACACTAGGTTCTTTCCCTTTTTCCCTACTCATCTTTGGAAACAGACCCAGTAGTGGTATTGCTGGACCAAAGGGTATAGGCAGTTTAATAACTCTTTGGACATAATTGTGCAGATTGCTCTCCAAAATGGTTGGATCAGTTCACAATTCCACCAAGGATGAATTAGTGTCACAATTCTTCCACATCCCCTCCAACATTTGTTGCTTTCCCCTTCTATCATTTTAGCCAATCTGATAGGTGTAAAATGATATCTCAAGGTTGTCTTAATTCGCATTTCTCTTATCAATAATGACTTAGATGATTTTTTCATATTTATTAATGTCCTTTTAAGTCATATTGTCCAGAAGTGGACACAGGACTCACAACTGTTAACTGGAGGACAACACATTAGGAAGACAGACTTCTGTCCATGGGACTTACCCTCTCTACTATTTCAGATGTCTGCTCTCTCCTTCACTCCATCACACCTTTCTCTGCAGCATCCCCTCAGGGGAATGGTCACTACACTGTTGTACACCTTCAACAGAAGGTGAATTCTTTAGGTGGGGAGCCAGGTAGGGAGTTTCATTTTTTAACGTGCCCCTAGTGCCTAGCACTGAGCTTTGCACGGAGTAGGTGTTTAATAAACGTTTGTTTAGTCTAATGGGTTGGAATGGAATCCTATTGCATTGAGAGTGAGAGCCAATGTCTACCCCAAAGAAAAGAAGAGAGGGGAGGGGGAACCAGTTCCCTCCCCAGAGGAGGAGAGGGAGGCACGGGGACTCGCGGGAGAGGACTAACATTTTCCCAAGGAGGAGGAGAAGAACACTGGCTCTGGTGTCAGAGGAGCTACGTTCGAATCCTGTGACTTTTAGCCAGTCTCTTCTCCCTGGAACTCAGTTTCCCTATCTGTAAAAGCAGGGATTGGCCTCAGAGGTCCCTCCTGGCTCTAGAATCTGTGGTCATCTACCTTGGGGGCAGAGGGAAACCACTTTCCTGGGGGAGGGGGCTTCCCAGGACTCGCAAGCCCCCAGGAGAGGGGGAGGGAGGGTGGAAGAGGTGGGGTGAGGACAACAGCGGTGGGGTGGCTTTTGGGGGCACAGAACTTTCTCGGGGGGAGGAGGGAAAGGGGGAGCAGGACTGATCTTATCTTCAGGGTTGGGGAGAGATGACCGACGCCTCCTCCCAAGGGAAGGAGACCAAGGTGGGGAGGCGGGGAGGGGTACCAACTGTCTTCCCAGGGTGGGGCAGGGAGCAGGGGGAAAGAGAAGGGAGGAGGAAGCAACATTTCCCCCCGGGGCGGAGCTGGAGGGAGGCGGGCCTACGCCAGCCGAGGCCCCGCCCCCGGCCCTGCGAACGTAAGCCGCGGTCCTGGCCCCGCCCCCGCCCGCGGGAGGAGGAGCCCAAGGCCCCGCCCCCGCGCAGCCCTCTCCGGAGGGGTCACGTGCTGGCGGGGGGGGTGGGCGGCCGGCGGTCACATGACGGGGGCGCCGCTGGGCGGAGGGAGCCGGGGCTCGGGGTTTCCGTGCGGGGCGCGTGCGGAGCGGTGGCGGGCTTCACCATGGTGAGTGAAGGAAGGCGTCGCTGGGCGCGGGGCGCGCGAGCCCAACGGCCGGAGCCCTGCCCGAAGCGGAGCTGCCCATGGCCGGGCCCCCGCTGCCCTACCCCGGCCGCCTGTGGGCCCCCTGGCTGCCCCCGGGCTCGCCGCCTCTGCGGGCCCTCCTGGCCGCCGCCGCCGCCCCCTCGAAGGTAGCCCCGGGGCGGGGAGGGCCCCCCCCGGCACGCCGTGGGCGCCTCATAAGTGCTTCGTGGCTGGGCAGCGCCCGGGGAGGGACGGGAGCGCTCTCGGGGGGGGGGGCGGGCGAGCTGGAAGGGACCTGGGCTGGCGGTCAGAGCGGGCACACAGCAGGCGCTTAATACGTGCTGCCCGGCTTGGCAGCACTCGGGGGCTCCCGAGCTGCAGGTGCTTGGGGCCGTGGCTCTTGGAGGGCCCTGAGCTGGGAGGGACCCTAGGACCCTGCGTCTGGACGGGGTCCGGGGCGGCGGGAGCAGGGATCCTGGGCTCCGAGGCTTCGGAGCTGGTGGGTAGGTCCCAGGAGCACCTACTGTGTGTCTGGCGTGTGTACGTAATGGGTGTAGGTATGTGTGCGCGTACAGGATGTTCCAGAAGTAGAACTGCACTAACGCTTTTGGGACACCCTGTGTATGTAAAATAATTTGCAAAATAAATCCTTTGAGCAAGGTGCTAGCAGCTGGAAGAAAGGATCAGGAAAGTCCCTGTAGGGGGTCTTTGAAAGAAACTAGAGTTAAAAAAAAAGGCAAAGGTGAGGAAGGAGTGCATTCCAGGTATTGGGATCAGAGAAGGAAACTGAGGCCCAGAGAAGTGAAGGAAAATGGCCAGGGTCACATAGGTAACAGTAACTGGCCAAGTCTTCTGACTGCAGCTTCCATGTATATGGAGATTTCCTGACATGTCTTGATCCTTCAGAGCTGGGAGGTATTGACAATTGAAGAAATGGAGGGGAAATACTGTAAAAATGGGAAGCAGAAACTTTACACTTGACGGGGAAAACCGAGTTTGGTGTTTCTTTTTCTAAACAAATCACCGTTGCTCACTTGTGTAAACTTAAGTCTTTGAAATGAGGAAATGGCTCAAAAGGCAGACAGACAAAGAAATCAGAGTACTCCGTGTCCTTCGAAGGGGAAAGCTTACTAGATTGTGTCTCTGCTGAGCTTGGGGCTTGTCAGCTGCCTCTGCTAGGCTGAATTTCACTTGGGGTTATTATCCTAGGGCTTGGTTTTTGTATCAGTGGGCAGCAAAAAGGGACTTAACAGTCTGTTAATTCAAGTTTAGATTCATTATTTTTTTAAGTTTAGCTTTCTGTAAATGACCTCAGTTCATAATGTGACTGCTTGAATTTTTCTGCAAAAACTAAGATAACATAATTGTTCACTGTTTGAACTATTTCAGAAATCACAGATTGAGAGCGGCAAGCGACCTTGGAGGCTGGCTAGTCCAAACCCTCCTACAGATGAGAAATTGAAGCCTAGGGATGTTAAATGACTTCCTCAAAGTCACACACAGGTGGAATTTGAATTCTGGTCCTCTTACACCAGAGCTAGGGTGCTTCCTATTGTACCCATCTGCCGCTGTGTGCCGATTTTTTCTCCTTGTTCCTTAATTTGGCATTTTGTGTTTTCTTCTTTGTGTTAAGAAGGCCCTTCCGCACGTCTTCATTCTGTTTGGCAGTCAGTAAACATTAATTAAAGGGAGGCAAAGGAAGGTAAAACACCATCCCTGTCCCTGCTCTCAGGGGACTCACAGTCTAGTGGGGGAAACAATGTGTAAACATCGAGGTGCAAACTAAATACACAGTTGGAAATTATCAACAGAAGGAAGACACTCGAATTGAGGGGAATTGGGAAAAGCTTCCTGTAGAAGGTTGGGATTTTTCTGTAATATTACTTTTAATAGAATAATTGAAAGTGGTAGGTTTTTAATTTTAGAATGACTTATTGGGCAGCTGGTGTCTCAGTGGATAGAGCCCCGGGCATGAAGTGAGGAAGACCTGAGTTCAAATAAGACACTTATTAGCTGTGTGAACCTGGGCAGCTCACTTCGTCTCTGCCTCAGTGTCTAGCTGTAAAATGAGAATAACAATAGCTCTCACCAGCCAGGGTTGTTGTGAGCATCAAATGAGATAAATAGTTTTAAAGCGCTTATCCTGAACTTACTAAGCACAATGGACATGCTTGGTGGTGCAGTGGAAAGATCGCTGGGTCTTGAGTCAGGAAGACCTGAGTTCAAATCCAGCCTCAGACACTTACTGTGTGACACTGCGCAAGTCACTTAATCCTGTTTGCCTCAGTTTCCTCATCTGAAAAATGAGCTGAAGAAGGAAGTGGCAAACCACCAAGAAAACCCTAGATAGGGTCACGAAGAGTCAGACATGACTGAAAATGACTGAATAGCAAGAAAACATGCTTGTTCCCTTTTCCCTTTAAAATATTGAAAATAATAGAAAGGTAATGCCTAGAATCCTTTTTTTTTAAACTAGTAATCTTGTTTTTATACAAGAATTACACACACACACACACACACACTCTCTCTCTCACATGAGCACATGCATGCACATGTCTGACACACGTACCCCTTTAATGAGGTACATTCCCTGAAAAAAAACGATTGGATTACTGGATGGTTCCAACAGTGATTTGTAGGGGACATCCCAGATGTCTCAGTACTATTGCCCTGAGCCTCTTGGCCCCTGAGTATTTGCAAGGGTGTCAGTACCTTTCCTTGTCGACTTTATTTGCACTGTTAGAGTCGTGGAATGTTTTTCTCTTTGGCCCAGCTTTCCTTCTTTTTGAATCCCTTCTTATAGCTTCCTTTAAAAAACTCAACTTTGTAAACCTGAACAAGATCAGCCTGTTTGTTTTACTAAGTAAATCTAGTCCACTCTGTGGCTTTGAGAGTTTTCCTGATTGTTGTTCTCCATTGGATGGAGTTCTGCAGGCTCACAAATTCAGATAGCTAACATAACATTGAGGCTAGGATGGTGTCTGTAAAATTGTACTGGACATGGGGTTCAAAATGAGGTTCATGTCAGTTGTCAGTGATCTGGGTGTACATTTGGGAGGAGACTTGTAAAAGTGGTTCCTATCCAGGTACTCCATGTCATAATACTTTGCATTTATTTAATACTTCAGTGGTTCACCATACTTCCTGTCCCTGATCTCCTTCTCTCTGCTGTATGAGTTACTCTGTCTTCAAGTATGGACTTGCTTCTGAAAGCCGCCTCCTCCTCTGTGGCTGACAGGCGTGCTTAGGACCTCGGACTGACTGGGAAAGAGCTGGTGTAGTCTGTGGCCTTTGTTTAGTTTCTTTGAGCTTCAAACGGGATCTCAAAATAGCCTTCTGTAATTTCAGCAGTCGTCTGTTAGCCTCTAATAGGTGTGCGTGAAGCACCCGAGCCCTTTTAGCAAGCTCGATTTCCACTTAGTTTCCTTCCTCAGTTCCTTACCAGCCCAGACCATTTTGTTTATCTGTTCTTTTATGGTCTGTTTACATCTCTGGAGAGATGAGATTAGCTTTTCATCTGTCTACCAAAATTAGGCTTTCACAGGAAGGTTTAGTTAGTCAGGCCGTCCATTGGCTATGATTGGAGTTAGAATGAACTTTAAGGTTCCTTCCAGCTCAGAATCCCATGGTCCTGTTTTTGGAGAGCTGCATCTTGAATGGAGTTCTAGGAAAAGCTCAGTGAAAAGATGTGTTTCCTTTGATCAGGAATTTTTTCTTTTAACTCAGAGCTCTTTGGATAGCAAGAAAACATGAGGGAGGAGGCAGAAGGAGTACTGATCTTTGAAATGATCTGTAATAATAAATAACCTATGTTTTAGGTTCTTTTTTTTCCTCTTAATTTCTCTTAGAAGAGCTGTGAATAAAAGAACCTGACGTGTGTGAAAAGCTAGTGCCTTGGAGTTGGAGAGGCTGGCTTCAAGTCCAGGCCTTGGTGCGTTAGGCAGAGCACCGGCCCTGAAGTCAGGAGGACCTGAGTTCAAATCCAGCCTCAGACCAAACACTTCACACTTACTAGCTGTGTGACCCTGGGCAAGTCACTTAACCCCAATTGCCTAAAAAAAAAAAAAGAAAGAAAGAAAAGAAGCTTTGAAGGTCTGCAGAGTGCTTTTGTAACAACTAAGCTATGAGCCAAGCAGCATAAGTAGTAGGATACCCCCATTTTTCAGATGAAGAAACCGAGTGATTAAGTTCCTTGCCCAGGATCACCCAACTAATGAAAATCACACCTCTGTTTCCTGAAGTGCCCAAGTCATCAGCACCTTCTGTACTCCTGGATGTGGCACCTTAGGAATAAACAAGCAAGACTAAATCCTTCAGTGCATGTTTTGGAATTAGAACAGAAATGCAAATAGCAACATTTGGCATTTTGCAGATGGCAAATTCTTATACTGTTGCCTCTTCTCTTCCTCGTAGGGATTAGCATTAAAATCTGTGTTCTCTGAGGCCTTGTTCTGCACTGTAGGGAGGCCCTGGCATATGTGCAGCCCTGGGCAAAGGCTCTGGTCATGTTCATGAGGTTGTCTGTTTTCGTGCTTTTTACTGCTCTAGAATTTTACATTTGAGGAGGCGGAGGAAAATTCCTCCAGAAAGAACGTTGTGGGGGTGGAGTATATTGGCATCAACATCTTAACTAATTAGAAAGTTGGTGGGGCTCTTGAGGTTTGTAAAGTGTCATCTTGATTCATGGTTAGTTTAATTTTAAGTAAATTTGATTTTTTTACTTTTGCTAATTGAGTACTTAGTGAACTTTGAAATTATATATCCAGCTACAAAAATCTTAATAAAGGGGGAATTAATCCCCCCCCCACCAGTTTGAAACTTTATTTACCAAGCGTAGTTTAGGTTTATCAAGAAAAAGTGGGGCAGCTAGGTGGTGCAGGGGAGAGAGCACCAGCCTTGGAGTCAAGAGGACCTGAGTTCAAATTTTGCCTCAGACACATAACACTAGCTGTGTGATTGGGGCAAGTCACTTAACCCCAATTGCTCCCCCCCCAAAAAAAAGAAAAGGTGATTGTAATCTCAGCTCCCTTGCACTAACCAAAGCCAAGATGTTAAAAAGTACAGGTTACAGTATTTTAAATACCAAGAATATTTGGAGATATGTGTATTTATTTGGTCAGTAAATGAACAGTTCACATTGGTGGTTGGTTTTGAAGGAAAAGTTGTTTAAAGAGAGGAATATCTCTTATTTGGAGGATGTGTTTGTAAAATTAGTGTAAAAGAAACAACTATTGGCATCTGTATATATGGTTTTGGAGGCTGTTGGAAGACATCACCTTGGAAGTCTTTCAGAATACCGCAGGAGAGAGTTTGAGAGCTTATATGTGCGTGCGTGCGAGATCTGGGGTCTTCTGCAATATATAACAACAAAGAATTTTAGTCCAGTTCATTGGTCCGTCTGATGGAGGGAGGGAACTCTTGCATTTAGATGTTGCCTTATATTTTTCTGCATCTATGCCCTGATTTCTTGTTTAGATTGTCTGCTCCTTGAAAGCAGAAGCTGATGGAGCTTTTATTACCCCAGGACTGGACATATGCTTTGCATTCCAGAAATGTTTTCTGGTTAATGGTTGTTAAAAATATTCCATTCTCTAATTCTTGGGTAACAAAGCCCAATTTTCATGAGAATTCACATATGGTTTCTAACTTTAAAATGCTATCTTGGAATGTTGATGTTATCTAGACAGGCGATATGTAGCTAGCATCACAGAATTCTGGTGGAATTCTGTCAGCTTGCCTCCTAGAATCTGCCTCCTACAACTGGCCTTCAGATTTCCACATTAAAATAAAGCTAGCTCATTATTTGGACATAATGCTGTCAGCTAGGGCTGATACAGGGAAACCTGGTTATCTGTGTACCTGGAATATGTCAGCAGAAATAATGCCATGAGACCAGCATTTGACCTTTTTGATCCTTACCTACTTTGCTAGAGAGTGCCTGTCTGCGGATTTGGCTCACACGTCTTTTATGAGGTCAGATGAGGAGGGGATTCTCACCATTTCTCACTATGAGCAAACAGGTGACTTGCTTCAGGTCACAGAACTAGTTTCTGGGACTAGAATGCAGATTTCCTGTCTCCCAACCCCAGGCTTTTCCCACTGTGCTGTAGCACTTCCTATGAAGAGTATTCCTCTTGATGGTTGTCTTTATGTACGGTTCGTTGATTTTTCTATTATTAGGACAAAATATTCTTTACCAATTTAAAAAACAAACAAACATCTATAGGGGCAGCTAGGTGGCAAAGTGGATAGAGTACCAGCCCTGGACTCAGGAGGACCTGAGTTCAAATGTGGCCTCAGACACAAAACACTCACTAACTGTGTGAACCTGGGCAAGTCACTTAACCCCATTGCCTAGCCAAAAAACAAACAAACAGGTAAGCAGACAAACAAACAAAAACATTTACAGACAGTGGAGGGGCCTGGGTTTTAAATCCCAACTGAAGGCCCAATCAAAAATGATATGTGTAGCCCAGATGTTGTTTTTGTTTCCCACCAATGAATTTTGACACCCATGAGCATCAATTTCTGACATTGGTCATAAAGTATATAAACTTACAGCCCTCTGTAAGTATCTTTTAAAAAAATTAACCCATTAAAATGGAATTAGTCCTACTTATTCAAGAGCCAGTTTTGTTTACTTTATGTTCCCTCAATGAGAAAAGACTGACATATAGATAAATTTTATTTAAAAGTTTCGGTTACAGTGTATTTTATTTAACTACAGATGTAGTTCTATTTCTTACCACTTCCTTAAGCTCATCAGCATAAATTTCCTTAGTCTTTGTGGTAAATGGAAGTGGTAGATAACTTAGTTCAATTTGAATTATGAAGTATGCTAAAGAAAAAAAATATTCATTTGTTAGTGATTAGAATGTTTTTGTTTTTAATTTCAGAGTTTTCTTGGAGGTTTTTTTGGTCCCATCTGCGAGATTGATGTTGTCCTTAATGATGGGGAGTCACGGAAGATGGCAGAAATGAAGACCGAAGATGGCAAAATAGAAAAACATTATCTCTTCTATGATGGTGAATCTGTTTCAGGAAAGGTAAACTCTTTGTATGGGACTAGAACATTAGTATTTGTAGTTCCATGTTGACCATAAAAGATTTTAAAATGGTTTATTTTTGAAGTATGTTTGAGGTCTTTTATCCTCTTATGACTAAATTATTTAGGGTAGAATAGTTGGAGGGGGGAGAGGCTCAGAGGAAAAAGATAGGTTATCTAGTCTAACAGCCTTATTTGGCAGATGAAAAAACTGACGCCTTTATAGTTAAAGGACTTTTCCAAGGTCATACAAGCTGCTGAAGCAGGATTTGAACCCAGGTCATCTGGCTTCAGAACCTGATCCATTGTCCCTTATTTCCTGTTGTGTTACTCTCTGCACTGTTTCTCTTGGTATTTCATTTTCTTTTCCTGTGTCATGGGATTGTGGCCAGGTGTTTGAGATTCCCCTCCTTCCCACCCTCCTGTCTGCAGAGTTACCTTAGTGTTCAGAAAGAGAGTCACTTCTAATCTGTGGTAATAGGAGAGGAGTGGTCGAGCACAGATAATCATCATGGCCTTTTCTAGCCCCTGCCCTCCAACCCCACATTTAAGAAATAGGAGGGATCTGTAGAACAGCAGCTAAAATAGTCACAGAGCTGAGAAGCCCGGAGGGCTGCTTGACCTAGGGAGGAAAGGAAAGCCAAGGCGACCGGAAGTCAACCCAGCGGAGGTCCCACCCCAACAGGTGACTGGCAGAGAAGTCATCTTGTTTCCCTACCTAGAAGAGGCGGCCCAGCTCCTGCACAACCTAGCCTCTCGCCAAGCTTATAGAAGGCACTAAGTGAAGACTGCAAAACCGTGTTGCTATCTTTAGTCCACAAATGAGAAAACTCAGGCTCAGCGAAGGGCTGTGGCTCAATGAGTGTCCTGTTGTCTGTCTTCTCTTCAGAAGAGACCAGGTTGCCTGGCGTTCGACAGATCCTTGTGGATGAAGGGGGAAGGGAATGGTGTTAGTACTATATGGAGTGTGAGTTTTCTCTTTCTATCTTCCCACGTATTCATACAGAATCTTTTATGATTATGATTCTGGTCAGGTTCTTTACTTGTTCCAATAGGTTTTATTTTAAAATTCTTTACTTTGATGCCTTATCTTTTTTTCTCACTGTCATTCTGAATACCGTCCATTGGTTGACACTTCCCTTGTAACAATGATGTACCAGCAGCAGCAGCGTCCCAGTGACCACGAGCCACTGTGCCTTCCCCCTTTCCTGTGGTCTGTTCTCCAGGACCGTTTGATGTTTGACTGATTCGGAACTCAGCTTCCTTGTTCAGTGATCTTTTCATTTTCATTGTTCTAGGTAAAGCTGTTCTTCAAGACCTGCTGTCTTCATTCTGTATCAGCCCATACATCTCTTGCCATGTTTCTCCAGATTTCTGGGACTGATCTTTTCTTACTGTACCAATGATACCCTGTTCCCTTCATGTGCCATCATATTTCTAGCTGTTTCCCAGTTGTTGGGCACACATTTTGTTTTCAGTGCTTTGGCTCCTCAACAGTATACTGCTAGATCTTGGCACATAGCAAACCATCATTGTTGTTCTGAGTGTCCAGGAGTGAGACCCCTTGGTCAGAGGGTGTGGACACAACATGACTAACATGGAAATACGTTTTGCGTGATTGCACATGTATAACCTATATCGAATTGCTTGTAGTCTTGGGGAGGAGGGAGAGAATCTGGAATTCAATTTTAAAAAGTGAAATGTAAAAAATTGTTTTTACATGCAAGTGGGAAAAAAAACATTTTAAAATGGAGGGGGTTTGAGGAGTTCAGTGGCCTTCGCTCCCTTCCTGAGGGCTTTTTGGAGTAGTTGGACCAGTTCATGGTCCCCGGCAGGGCATGGTGTGCCCAGCTCCTCTCCCCTCAGCCCATCCACCATTTCTTGGGTCATCTTAGCTGATTCTCAGGGTACAGTATGAGGAAAACCGCTGCATTCTTTTAGTTAATTGTACTTCTCTGAGATTTGGAGCGTCTTCACGTGGCCACGGTCGTTTTCTTCTCTTCAAGATGGTTCCTATTTTGTCAGAGTCTTTGTCATGACCTGGTGTGGCCCAGAGGAATAGACACTGGGCAGGTGGTGGTGATGGAGTTCGGCTCTGCACCAAAGCAAGGAGGAATTTCAGCGGCTCCTTTGTTAGCAAGATCAGGGAGGAAGCTTAGTTTGGGGATCCTGAAGCATCCGCCAGCAAGCATTTAAGTGCCAGCTGGGTGCCAGGCACTGTGCTGAGTGCGGGGGAGGCAGAGAAAGGTCCAAGACTCTCCCTGCCCTCCAGGCGCTCCCAGTCTGATGAAGGAGACACGATATGGACAACTGTGCACATTCGAGCTCCGTAGAGCGTAAATTAGAGGTGGTCTCAGAAGGAGGGCCAAGACTAGGGAGGACTGGGAAGGGCTTCCTGCGCAAGGTGGGCCTTTAGGTGAGACCTAAGAGGGGCCAGGAGGGGAAAGCATTTGAGGCATCAGAGCTGGGAGGTAGAGTCTGGTGTGTGAGGAAGGGCCAGGAGGCCAGGGTCGCCCGTAGGGCCGAGGAAGGTGTGAGACTGCTGGGGGAGGAGCTGCACTCATAGGATTTCATCTTTGATCCTGAGGGTAGTTAGGAGCCACTAGAGTTTATTGAATGGGGAGGAGGGGAGTGACAGCCTTCTGTAGGATTTGGTATTATGTATTTGTTCTCAATGACCTTCCAGAGCGACCTTTCTCTTGGCATGAAACCCAAGGATTGCACGTGCCTTAGACAGCAGTAGATCCTGGGTTCAGATATTGGCTCTGTCATTTATGATGTGTGACCTTGGGCAAGTCATGCTACCTCTGGCCGGCACTAGATGACCTTTGAGGCCCCTTCTGGCTTTAAATCCCTGATTCTGTATGAGGTCTTTCATAAATAGTATGCTAAGAAATGAGCTCTTTTCCTGATTTGTTAGAGCAGTGACTATATTTTACATATCGATCCAATGTGGCAAATTCTGCCTAACAAAAAAAAATAATACCAGAATTGTTGATCATGAAGTTCTGTGTTGACAATATTATCTCCCCCATCCCTGTGTAGATTAGGTAAAAACCTTTTAAATCAAAGTGCTTAATTACTTCATTTGGGCAAGGACTATAGGGGTCATCTGCTCTTTCTCTGAGACAGGAGGAAACATGATGCAAAAGCAAGGTTGTATGTTCCTGAAAATACCTAGTTATATATTATGAATAGGCACAACATCTGCTGTAGGCACAGAAATGAAAATGGTATTAAGAGAAATGAAAATAAATATGTACTTGCCCCAGAAAAAGCTGGTTGTGATGGCATTCCCTTAACATTTGTTAAAACATTATGTCTTGGCAGGTAAACCTAGCCTTTAAACAACCTGGAAAGAGGCTAGAACACCAAGGAATTAGGATTGAATTTGTAGGCCAAATTGGTGAGTTTTAAAACATTATTTTTTGTTTGTTTTTGTTTGGTTTTTGGTAATTCAAGAGTGAGAGGAAGGCTTGTGTTGGAGTGATTGACTTCCTGCTTCTCCGAGAGGAATGGGAGAATTGATGTTGGGGAGAGAAGACACAGTTGGTAAATGTGCTAAGTGACCTCGTGAGAATAACCAGTCTTCCTAATCCTGGTCTTTGACTCGGAGATTAACTCTTTGGTTTTTCCTTACTGAACGTGAAAATGAGCTAAGAGGTGTTCCAACCACCAGCTTTGAAAGTGATCCGTTGAGTAGCTTACTACAAGTTGGCATTAGCCTCTCCTCACACTTGCTCCCTGTGCTGGTCAAGCTCATCGCCTCACGTTTGCCTGGACTCACAGATACCCAGAGTTTCACCCAGCAACGCAAAATCTGATCAGCACGATTCAGAGGAAGAGCTTTTGGCATCAGCCGCATTTCTTTAAAAGCTGTGTCTGAAACTAGCATCTTAACTTTTGTATCTTGAAGACATTTTTTCATGTTTTCCCTTCTGAATTTCTTATTTTTATCATTACTGAATCCTTATATTGATGATGGTGGTGGTAGTTGTCGTCTTACCAGCCCTATGCACACCCATATCCCACTGGCGTTGTGTAAAAGTACAGTATAGAGGGGTTTGTGAAATTTGATTTGGTAAAGCCCCTCATTTTTAAGTTATAAGTTCACAATGTAACAGGCCTTTTATACTGCTAGTTCTTAAGTATAAAAGTTAGAGATTATTTTCCTCCCCACTTGGTGTTTTACTACAGGAGAAAAAACACATTCCTGACCTCAGTGGCACTTTGTTCTTGGTATTGAATATATAGTAGATTTATTAAGATTGTCTGTCTTCCTGAGTAACAGCATTTTTGACCTTAAAGGATAACTTCAGGTGACTGCTGGTAATTAATGTTTTCACATTATCAAAATATGAGATCCCTAGAGGTATTTTTATGTAGCATGGGTCACTAAAATTTGTGCAATATAAATAACTTTTTTAGTTAGGCAACTATTATAGTGAGGAAGAATTTGATTCAGGTTTTTGTTAAAATGGGGAAAGCCCAATGGACTGATTGGAGGTAGCACTTGTAATCTTTATGAAGTCAGTGTTTAAAATAATTTGGTCGATTTCTGTTTCTCTTAATTTCTTAGAACTCTTCAATGACAAGAGTAATACCCATGAATTTGTAAACCTAGTGAAAGAATTGGCCTTACCTGGAGAATTGACACAAAGCAGAAGTTATGACTTTGAATTTATGCAGGTTGAAAAGCCCTATGAATCCTACATTGGTGCCAATGTCCGGTTGAGGTATGGATGTCACTGCACGCCTGAGCTTACCTTGATAACAAAAAGGCAAAACCAGAAAGTTGTCTGAGGCCAGTCTTTTACTTGTCTTTCTCTTTCTGCGGAAATTAAACAGAATGATGTTAGAACATCGGCCCCATCATTTTTGTAGCTAATACAGCTCTGGGAAGCAGGAACTTGTTCTCACTGAAAGCTCTGAGAATCACAAGCCTAGCCTGTCAAATTATAGTCCAGCTCTTTGGCAGTTTGGGTTGGGTTGTCCTCCTTGGAACATGAGGAAGGAAGTCTTAGGACCTTTTGGACATTGTATTCCATTCCATAGTGAGTTAGCTCCTCTGAGAGCGTTGATTTAGAGCTGATTGGACCATGGCAGTCAGCTAGTCCAGCGTCTTCCTCTTACAGTGGAGAAAATTGGGATCCACAGAAGTATGGTGACTTGGCCAAGGTCATACATGTAGTAAATGGGATGGCCAGGATGCAAACTGGGGTCTTGTGACTCTTAAGACCAACTCTTTTTGTATTATGCTGTGCTTAAAGTAACTTATGGAACTTGTTTTCCCAAGAATTTGTGCAGGCCAGAAAGCCAGGTAGATTGAAGAAAGGTTTAGAGAAGGAGTTGGAGATTGGGGAGTTGCCTCCTGGATCTCCAAGGACCATGTCACAGAGAGGAGCTGCCATGCTTTCTGCATCCTTTGGCATCCTTTTGGGGCCATCCTGAAACAGGCTGGAGGTGGGGAGCCTAGTATTGCCTGGGTTCTCACATTACCTTCCATCTCACCTGTTTCATGGTGTTTGCTGTTTCGTATTCTTGTCTGGTAACTTCTCAGATGTTTTTTCTTTGTGTCGTTCCTCCCCCATGAGATACCATAAAATGAAAAGTCACTCATCTTTTGTTTGACCGTTTTGGTTTTAGCTTCCCAGTCTTGTTTCTGATTTGAATTTTAAACCTTTTCATTTTTTATCCGCAATTGTTCCTTCCTCAAGTTCATCCAAAGTGACAGAAACCTGAGGTAAGGGGAGGGCTGGGTGGGCTACAGAGAGGCTCCTGTAACTCAGTTTTTTGAGTCGTTAACACGTTATTTTGAATAAATTCTCAAATTAGAAGTTTTATTAAATGACACTTGATTCTAAAATAATTCTGGCAAGAGTTGGGCATAAAGGCTGAAGTCCAGTTAATGGTTTTTTTGAGTCAAAATATTTAAATTAATGCTAGAAGATTTAACTCCTCTTCCCCGTTTACTTTGTAGGTATTTTCTTAAAGTGACAATAGTCAGACGACTGTCAGACTTGGTAAAAGAGTACGATCTTATTGTTCACCAGCTGGCCACCTACCCCGACGTCAACAACTCCATTAAGATGGAGGTGGGCATCGAAGACTGTCTGCACATAGAGTTTGAGTATAATAAATCCAAGTGAGTGTCTTTTCCCAAAAAGGAAGCCACCCCAGAATTCAAAGAAAGATAATTAGGCCACCTCAGTTACTCAGAGTGTGAAATAAATTAGTTTACTGGGTGGGGGCTACTAGAAAGCAACTCAGACTCTGGTGGCATAAAAATGTCGATGTTCAGAAATAGTAAAGAGGAGGCTTAGAGTCCCGGTGCTCCTTTTCAGGCAGAGACATTGTTTTAATCCAGCCATGAAAGTGCTTGGGATATTGGAATTACTTGAAGGAAAAATAGTAATGAAGATACAGAGAAGAGCCCAGCGGAGCCGAGTTTCTGATCCTGGATTGTTTAAAAAAAAAACAACAACAAAAACATACACACAAAAAAACCCCTAATAGATTCAATAATTGGGCATTCCTAGTGTGGTACTTTATTAGTTACTAAATAAACACTGCAGAAAGAGAAATCTTCTGCCCACCTTGGCTCTCTGTTTTTCTTCAGTTTTTAAGTTTTCTGAAGTAAAAGTAATTTGAGGATAGATTTGGAGCTGGAAAATTGAGGCTACTCCTGTGCTTTATTGGTAAGGGAAATGAGGCCCAGAGACAGAGTGCTTCTTCAGGGTCACACAGCCGGCCAGTGGAGCTAGCTGATGGGAACCAGATTGGAACCAGATTTTTCTGACTCCCAAGTCCATTGTCCTGGATGTGCTACCCTTGTTGCCTTCTGTTAAAGCAGCCTTGTAAATAAGCATCAGAAATTGACCAGTTAGCAGTTGGCCTCTTGGAGATAAAATGAAACGAAATGCTCTCCCTTTGCTACTCTTATGTATAGATTACTTTGTGTTTTAATATGTGGCTACATCTAACCATATAGTCTTGCTTGCAGTAGAGTGATGATGACTGAAATTTCCAAGCTTGAATTTGTCGAGACAGTTCTTCATTGGTATAATGAACATATACTGTAGAAAAACAGCATGTTACACTTAAACCTAATATCTTAATTAAATAAATCAAATAATTAAATAAATAAATAATAAAAATATGTCCTTTTTTCCCCCCGAAGGTATCATTTAAAAGATGTGATTGTTGGAAAAATTTATTTCTTATTAGTGAGAATAAAAATTCAGCATATGGAATTACAGCTGATAAAGAAAGAGATCACAGGGATTGGTAAGTTGAAAACACTCGTCAGTCAAGTGTCCCACCGGATCGGATTGGAGCACAGTTCAGATTTCTTAATGTGGTTCATTTGAAATCTGAACAAATTTGGCCTGAAGTGTAAAATAGAAGAACCCCAGTTAGGCCCCTCTGTTTAGATCCAGTGGTACTTCTCTCTAGTTTGTTGTGCTTGGATGGGAGGTAACCTTGTCACATTTTTCAAGACCTTAAGAGCTCTCCTTGTAATTCCAGGTCAGACTTTAGAATTGAATTCTATGCTTCTCCTAGGCTTCCATCTTTAGTGTTGCAAGTCTTGGTCCTTATAGTCTAATGTCAAAGGTGAGGAACTCATCTTTTTGGAGGTGTAGGAAAGGGGTGGAGAGGTTGGCATAAACCAAAAGGAACCGAGTGTTCAGTCTGCAGCAGGATAGTTTTCTTTGCCAGAGTAGATATCTAGCTCATTGGAAATCTGAGATAAGATAACTTTGTGTATAGAAAGGAAATTTTACAATTGTTCTTAGCATTTCCTTGTATGAATTGTGTCTGCTTGCATAGAGACAAGAAATGGTGGTGATGGTTATAGGAAGGAAAAAGACCTGGGGAAGAAGGGAGCAAAACCTGAACAGCACAGATAGCCTATTAATTACAGGCCCAATATGGTTGTTGTCCAAGCGTGGCCGGAACCCTGTCGAATGAGAGTGCTGACTCGCCAGAATTAATAAAAGCAATGGAAAAGGGTGAGGCAGGAGGCGGGATGTTCTGGAGATGTTTTAAATTAATGCCATTGCGCTTGTGTGACCAGGACCCAGCACCACGACAGAAACAGAGACCATTGCCAAGTATGAAATCATGGATGGGGCCCCAGTCAAAGGTAACTTACTCTTCCTTTTTCTTCATTTTCTTTTGTTACAAATGAGGAATGGTTATGATTTTATTATGATTTTAACCTGAAAATATTTGTTTGCTCTCTGCCTCAAACCTGGATTTTGAACTAATCTTTGTTTTTACATAAAATCCATTGGCACAAATCTACTGAGAGCCAGCCCCATATTGGAGCCTAATTCCATGCCTATCTCTAAGAGAAGAAGAGGGTTGGCATTTTGGGGGGCTGGCTTTCTGCTCAGCAGTCTTGCTTAGGTGGCTGTGTACAAGACCTTATGGTAGGCATAAGATACCCCCGTCGCCCTGGAGCTTCCTCAAGCAGACAAAGGTGATCAGACAAGTCTGCAGATGTCCCGGGCAGCCCTGGGTCTGAGCCAGAGGTATCGAGACGGGGCTGTAGGACTTGAGGGTAGGGAGAGATGGAGATTCCTTAGCAAGGGAGTTTCTTTTCTGTGGCTGATTGATCAGCTTTGGGGAGGTGTTTCCCTCCCTCAGTCTGTCACAATTACAGGGTTATGATAGGTCATCTTGGCTACCTTTCTGAGCTGTAACACACTTCACTAACCGCTTCGGTCAGGTTGAGGCTCACATTAGAGATGGCCAAGGCTCCCTCTCCCTGCAGCCGGCCAGGCAGCGTGCCTGTGCGAGCTCATGAGAGGCTGACCCCTACCAGTGGGAGTCGCCTGAGGAGGGCATTGGTGCAGGGCGGCTGCCTGGGGCGGCATGTTGCGCAACGATGGAGCGGCCACATTTGCCACCTTATCTCTGGTGCTTCTGACCATGGCAGCTTGTGCTTGAGTAAAGTCAGGGTCTAACATGCTTTGGGAGTAGAACGAGAACTGTGTGAAGAAGGGTTTGGGTGACAGCCTCTCCTGCTGGAGGCGAGCAGATGCTGCTCTTCTCTTCTCTCCTGGTTTTTTATAAGGGTCAGTGGAGCCTCCACATCAGTAAAGAGGGATACATGGCATATTTTGGTCCTAATGTTTAAAGTAAATTTAATTGATAGGAACAGTCTCAGCCTGCACATGTGATTCCCTTGGTGTGAGCTAGTACTGCGGGAAGTACCTCCAGAATTGTTGGCCAGGGCCGCAGTCCTGGGTGACATGTGGCTTTCTCTAGTGACATTGTAGGATTATTTTTCCCCAGCAAAAATAATTATCTTTTTCTTAAGGTGAATCAATCCCCATAAGACTCTTTCTAGCGGGATATGACCCAACTCCAACAATGAGAGACGTGAACAAGAAATTCTCAGTACGCTATTTTTTGAACCTAGTCCTCGTGGATGAGGAAGACAGACGGTACTTCAAGCAGCAGGTACGTGCGTTGCTGGCTGATGTCTCGTTCTCGGTCACTGTGGAGGTAGGGGGTCGTGGGCAGATGGGGTGAGGCGAGCAGAGCTGCCCACTTCATTCAGAGCAGCTCAGGTGCCATCCATCCATCCATTCCACAGAACTACTGAAAACACTTTGATTTAGACTCTGCCCCCTAAATCAGCGACTCGGGTTTCCAAGGCTTCAGTGAAGTTGTTGAATGTGTGTGGCTTGTACTCAGCTGCAGTGAGTTCGAGTGGTGGAAGTGTCCATCCGGTGCGTCTTTCAGCCGTCAGGCACAGTCTGATTCCTGGGCTTTTATTTCAGCTCTAACTAGGGTAATTTCACAGATGAATTGGTTTTCAGTCTGAACCCTAAGTAGACTTTCTCCAGACTTTCAATAGTGAAAACTGAAGGGAGGTAAGAGACTGGTGGCCTTTTATGAAGACAAAATGAACAAGTATGCATGAATTTGCGGGGGATAAGAGGAAGTGGAAGTGTGGGAGCCTGCAATGGAATGGGAAAGGCGAGGCAGATGTCTGACCAGGTGAATTGGCTTCTGCCTGAGAACACCAGAGAAGTTGGGAGGTGTTGCCTGGATGACCAGTTCCCAAAGGAACCTGAGGACTCAGGGCAGCTGGGTGGCACAGTGGAGTTAGGAGGACCTGAGTTCAAATCCGGCCTCAGACACATAACACTTACTAGCTGTGTGACTGTGGGCAAGTCACTTAACCCCGAAGGGGAAAAAAAAGCAACCAGAGGCCTTGAGGCCATTGAGTCATATGACAACACCCCAGACGGGAGGCTTTGTTGAAGCTGCTCTTTGGGAATTGCCTTCAGAGCATTAATAGCCTCAATGGTCACCCGTTTTTATCTTCTGAGGGACGGATTGGACTTGGAGAAACAGGCAAGTTAGTCAGGAAGCAGTGTGGCCAAGTGTGGCAGGCTCCGAATTAGCAGTGACCATAAAGTGGCCAAACTGGTTTTCTTGTGGGTGGCTTTTGAGCTGAAATCAGTTCTAACGTAGCAGCAGCTCCAGGAATGTTTGTGTAGTAGCAGTGTCACTGGAGGGAGTCCTTGTGTGGCTTTGAAGGCCAACCCTCGGGGAGATGGGCCTTGTGAACCACTTATTTGTTTTAGAGTTCAGAGGAAAGAAAAATCAGCACAGTCCAGCATGTAATCTGAGATTTTATGGATGAGGTAGGATTTCATCCCTTGGAGGATCTGGAAGGATTTAGATGAGGAAAGAGGCCGGGAGGTAAGAAAGTACAGGTCAATTTAGGGGATAGTGAGTAAACCAGATTGACTAAAGGGGAGGGTTAGTGTAGGGGAGTGGGAAGGAGGCAATGCTGAAACGGCAGCCAGGGACTAGGTTATAGAGGGCCATGTGAAAAATGGATTCTTTATGGTTGCGTGTCCCTTTCTTTTCTGGCTGTCTCCTTCCTCTTTTATCCAGTAAGTTTATTTCTTATAACAAGAAATTAAAGAAAAACTTATAGTAAAATAAATTAACATGTCACCTGACGTGTTGACAGTACATATAGTATTACCCAACCATAGTACCTTGATGGCTTCTGCAAAGAAGAGAGTGGGAAGTCTGTTTTCTCAGCTCTTCTCTAGGACCAAGCGCTTGAGTCCTGGGCAAAGGAAGTTGTGTTGTCTTTATTCTGTGGGTATTGTGGAGCCAATGAAGGTTTCTCAGAGAGTACATGACAAAGACACGTTTTAGGAAAACTAACATTGTATGCAGGATAGATAGAGAGGGTGCTGTGGGTAAGAAGGTGGAGGTAGGAGTTTATTAAGGTGGTTGAAGTCACTAGGACAATTCTGCAGAACCTTGTACTTGGGGTTGGGGGACACTCGATAGACGTTGAATTAGGATGTTTCGGAAGGGACAGACTTTACAGTTATTTCAGAGGAAGAATAGACAAGGCTTGGTGACAGACTGGATATGAGGGCAAGGGATAGGAAGAAGTAAAAAAAATGCCTGTTGACATTTGGGAAAAGTTTAGTTTTGTTTTAGACAGATTTAAGCTAACGGTAGGATTGGTTTTGAAGATGACCTCCCCTTCTGTCTTCTCTGGCAAATTGTCTCCTCAATCAGCTTCTCCCCAACTAATCTTCAACCTCTTTCCTACTACTTTTGACTTCAGTCTCCCCAAGCTTTTAAAAAAAAGAATCTTCTCTTGACCATAGCAGCTTCTCAGGCTGTCATGAGCTCTCTTGGGTTTAATTACCATCTCTCTGCAGATCTGTTTATCCAGCACTAACCTCTTGCTCCCAAACTGCCCTTTGGAAATTTCAAATTGAATGGCCTGGAGACATCTCATACTCGATCTGTCCAGAACAGAGTCCATTGTCTCTTTCCCCCGACCACCTATTCTTTCTGTCTTCCAAGCTTATAACCTTGTTGTTATCGTTGTCCCTTTGCTCTTCCTTGGTCCATGTGTTCAGTTAGTTGGCAGATCTTTCCATTCTGTGTCCACACTATCTCTTTCATCCAAGCCCTTCTCCTACTATGCCCCCAGCTAGGCTTGGGCCTTTAGCATCTCTTTTCCTGGGCTGTTGCAGTATTTTCTTGTTGGCCATTCTGCCTCGAGTTTCCCCCCTACTCTAGTCCATTCTCCATTTAGCTGCCAGAGAGATTTTCCTTAAGCCCAGATCTGACCACATCATCCCCACTCATTCAGCTCTAGTGTCCCACCTCTAGGATCAGTTACAAACCACTGTTAGGCTTTTAAAGATGGCCCCAGCCTACCATTGCAGCCTCTGTGGGCATTACTCCTACTCTCACATGCTCCCATCCCTCCCAGATGGAGGGGCTGGCTTTCTTTTTGCTCCTGGCTCCTGTCTCTGGGCCCTTGCATGTTCCATCCCCCATGACTGGAATGCGCTTGCTCTCTTCCCTAGAGCCACAGCTGCTCCCCCTGCCAGTGCCCTCCCTGAACACTGCCTTAGATTTATTCCTGGGTGTTTGGGATCTTTATAGATGTAGAGTGTCAACTCCTGGAGAGTGGGGATTGTTTCATTCTGGGTCTTTGTTGCCCTAGTGCTTTGTATAGTGCCTGGCACATAGTAGGTGCTTCATAAATGCTTGTTGATTGAAGTAAGTTCCAGACACACACATAACTCTCAAACACAGTCCCATCCACAAAATGTATCAATGTTCCGGCATTTGTTTTTACCAGGAGATCATCTTATGGAGAAAAGCTCCCGAGAAGCTGAGGAAGCCGAGGACAAACTTTCACCAGCGCTTCGAGCCTCCTGAGCCGCAGGCGTCTGCCGAGCAGCCGGAAATGTAAAGGCAGGAGGAGAACGGAGGTGGGGAAGGGCAGGCTTTCTGGCTCCAGCAGTCACAGCCTGCGCAGGACGAGGCCTAAGACTCCTTGCCTCGCCCTCTCTCTGGCCACGCTCACCTGTTTTGTGGCACTACTAACCGGTCTCAAAGGTGTACATCCAGTTACAAAGTGCTTTCTCTGAAACACTGGAGCTTTCTGAAGCTGCCGTCTCTCTCTCTCTCTCTCTCTCTCTCCTTTTAAACTTCACACTTTGATTTGATCACATGCACTCAGATATGCATAAGCTTAAACATTAAACACGTCCCTGTGTGTAGGCTGGCGTTGTGTCATTTTGTTCTCTTTCTCTAGGATGTAGATCATGAATCTTCCTGCCCCATCTCCATGTCACTGGCTCCCTCTCCTTCTCTGCGGAACCCGAGACTTGTGTGTTCAGCAGATGAGAGCTTGGCCGCGAGGCTGTGCAGGCCGCCCCGCTCGGCAGCGGTCCCTGACCGGAGGACTCCATCCAGTCTGGCGGGTGTTGGAGGGGCCCGGGACCAGTGTTGTCCCGAGCCTTCTGGGTCTGTGGCGCTCTACTCGGGGAGCTTCTCACAACCTCTCACATAACGGGGGGAGGGGGGGAGGGGGTGATTGCCGTCTTATGCCCACAATTTCTTTTTTTGCTGTTAAGTCTTCAGCTCTTGCATTGGCACCACAGTAGTAGTTTTCCTGTGGTGTGTTCTATTTGTGTTTTAAAATTTCTAATGTTCATATGAAATTTTTTCCCCACAGATACTTTAAGGCATTTTATTTTTTTAAGTTTTAGGGAAAATTTGGCTGTGGGAAAACACTAATTCTTCCATTCACAAACTTCTCGATTGTTGGGGTAGGTGGACTTTGTATCATCTCCAGTTTGTGTCTGGTTAAACGTACTCCCATTAAGCTGCAGCTTTGGCCAGTCCGAACTCAGATTTGACAAGCTCACTAGCCTCTCTAGGAGACACACCCAGTGTCCTCGTCTCCGTTCTGTTTCACGCTGAATTCAAGTCGTCCTTGGTTCAAGGACTCTCAAAGCTGGCGCAGTTGTGAGCTGGGTTTGGTTTGGATCCACGTGGTAGAGGCACCGGGCTCGTCTGAGCCACAGAAGCCACCTGCACTTGAGGCTCACAACCCAAGACGTGGACTGAACACAGTCCCTTCTCATGCTGTCTGAGAACTGCTTTCCTCCGGTGGCACCCTGACCACCTCCTCTTACTGCAGTAGATGCGCTCTGGGAACATCTCTTTTCAGCATGGATGTCTGGGGGTGGAAACAGATGGATTTTTTTTTTCCTCATGTAAGTGCCTGTTCAGAAATTAAAAAAAAAAATTTAAAATGCCAAATATTTTCATGGTCACTTGCATGTAGTAATCTAGAAACTGTTTGAAAAGATTTTGAAAACTGATTGTATTTAACCAGCCTAAAATTGTGCAACCATGTATAATAAAGAATTTGAAACCGATATTGAGCTGCTATTTGAATGATTAAAAACAGCTGTATTCTCAAGAAGCCTGGTCTCCTTTCTTAGCCGTTGCGGGGTTGGTCAATACTGTCTTACATGGGAACCGTGAATGTTTGTCACGTTGTAAAGATGGACTGACTTTACTACAAGTTAGGAGGCTGTTTCTGGGACAAAGAGCAATTTTATTTAAATGCTGCTATTAATTCAGCTGGTCTTTGGCAGGCCCCAGGCTGTGGCAGGTGCTCACTTTTGAGTCTAGAAGTGAGGGGATCAGACCTGCAGAGCCTGGCCAGGTTTGGAGGGGCTTATCAGCAAGGCTTGGCACAGACCGAGTGACTTTTTTGACCACAGCCACTCCTACAGTGAAGGCCCAGAGGGATTGTCACCTCTAAGAGTACCTACCCTAACAAAAGTAGGAGTTCTTGGGGTGCTTTCAGTTTCCCTGTGACTTGAACGCATATATGAATGAGCTTGTTTAAAATTCATAGGATTATATATGAGGCACTTACCTTTTGACAACCAACTTGAAGAATGAAGATTTTTAATAAAAACTTGGATGATCTGGGCTATTAGGGCTGTTAATTAAACTGAACCCTGGCAGCGAAAGAGATGGCCGAGACTGATGGCTGTTTCATGTTGGTTTGTAAAGGGAAGGGGTCCATACCGAAGTCTACTTTTTTATATGGACCTCCCTAACATTTATACAGAGCTGTGAGGCTTAGGAGGAGGTATTTGCCTTGCAATGATCCTGTGTTTCTCTTGCTGTTAACTCTCTTCTCATTATCACTGCCCCCCTCACCTGCCTGGTGAAGGAAGGTCCCTGAAAATATTAGCATCTCCATCCCACAGAGGAAGGAGCTTGGGCTCAGAAGTTGGGCAGCTTGGCCATGTGCCTAAGGTCACACCACTGGTAAACAGCAGTAAGGGTTGAAGTCAGCAAGCACTGCTGGGCCTCTCCCTCACCCCTACAGCCCACTGGATAAAAATCCAAGTGGTTTCAGGGGTGACCTGACTGTACAGTAGGTTATGAATACCCACTCATAACTCCTTCACGTGGTGTATATATAATGGTTATCAACAAACGCCACCCAAATGGTCTCTGGAGAGCAGGGCTAGCATTCTCTCAGGCTCCACACCTTGGAGACATCTTGACCACTTTCTGTCGTCATAGTCCAGAGTCTGCCAGTTCTTTTGTCTCTTCCACCCATCCCCCTGCCCCCAACCTTTCTATCCTTGAAATCCATCCAGCATTCCACTGTCAGGTTAGGATTCCTTTAAAAGGGAGGCAGCATAGCCAAATGGGAACAGCACAAGATTTGGAATCAGAGGCCCTGGGTTCAGATTCTGCCCTGCCGCTTGCTACTTGTGTATTATGATGGCCAATTTCGCTTTTGTGCGTGTTCAATGTGTATTCAAGATAAATTATGAGACCCCTGTGCCCAGAACGAGTCCTTTCACAGCTCCCTGCCCTATTTCTCTCTCCTGCCCTTCAGACTTGGGTGCTTCCTGCCTGAAGCATGAGTGACCCCCTGAGGTTCCTTGAGGTAGATGCCATTATTATCCCCACTTTACAGGTGAGAAAACAGGCAAACAAGTGACTTGATAATGTTTTATGTTACTATTATGCTTTTAAGTCCTTGGATTGTAATTTTGGGAAACCGTTGTATAAGAAATGCTGTTAGCTTTTGGAGGTGTCTTTAGATCCTTGCATTGCTGTGATGAGCCAAGTCTATCAAAGTCAGTCATCCCATAATGTGGCTGTTACTGGGTGCAGTGTTCTCCTGGTTCTGCTCACTTCCCTCAGCATCAGACCCTGCAAGTCTTTCCAAGTATTTTTGAAGTCTGCCTGCTCATCATTTCTTATAGCACAACAGTATTCCATTACATTCACATGCCACAACTTGTTCAGCTGTTCCCCAATTGATGGGCATCCTCTCAATTTCCAATTATTTGCCACCACAAAAAGAGCTGTTATAAATATAAATATATATATTTTTTGCTTTTGTTGGCTAGGCAATGGGGTTAAGTGACTTGCCCAGGGTCACACAGCTAGTAAATGTCAAGTGTCTGAGGCTGGATTTGAACTCAGGTCTTCCTAACTCCAAGGCCAGAGCTCTATCCACTGCCCTACTATAAATATTTTTGTACATGTGGGACCTTTTCCCTTTTTTATGATCTCTAGGATACTGTGGAAAATGCTGTCCACACCCAGAGAAAGAACTATGGAGTCTGAATGCAGATAGAAGCAGACTGTTTGCTCTCCTTTTCCTTTGTTGTTTTGTTTTATTGCTTCTTTCTTGTGGTTCCTCCCATTAGTTCTAATTGTTCTTTACATCATGACTACATCATGCTTAACATGAATGTATATGTAGAGCCTATATCAGATTGTATGCCATCTGGGGGCGGAGGAGACAATTTTAAACTCAAAATCTTATGGAAGTAAATGTTGAAAACTAAAAATAATTATAAAAAAAAAAAGAAGAAAAAGATAAAAGAAAACAAAAAGAAATGTTATCTTCCTAACTTTGAGCTGTTACTTTTTGGGAGAATTTTGCAGAGTGCTCTTCTGATCCTAGGCTGTTTCTCATATTCAAATGAATATGTTCTGGTTTATTAAAGTTACCTTGTTACCTTGGGAAGTTGTCTTCCCTACAGACCTTGGCGGCCTCTGAATTTTCTACCCTGATAAGATGCACCGCATCTTACCAAAAAATGGAGCTGCTTGGAAAGAGAAGGTGACCAGGTCTTTCACAAACTCCACCCTGAGACTAAGGATAATTACAAAGCTACTGAACAGCTCTCAACATACTCACATCCAAAGCGATTTTAAGTTTTTAAGTTTTAAAATCAAACATTTTTAGTTTGCTTATAATATAGAAGTAATTTATATGAATTAGCTGGCTACTGATTATGAAAATTATGGAACTAAACCTGGAATAATACGTATTGAAGTTACATTATCTGGGCCAAGTGAGTATCAACAGACCACAGTTTGAAAGATTTTTTTCCCCACTTTAGGGGTTAATATGCAATAGTAGCCAGTTTTGTTTTTCTTCCTTTTCTGTAATTACTTAATGTATAAAACTCCAGAATGTGAATAATTTCTTGATTTTTACATTAAGATGATTGAACTAAAAAAGACAATTAAAATGATGAATGCTTTTGGGAAGGCCTTGTATATACTTAATAAGGACTAAAGAAAGATATTTTTATTTATTACAATTTATTATTATTGCAAAATGAAAAACCAACCATGTTCTGCTCTGCACTGTAACTTGCTGAATGAGCTGGGATACTCTGGAGCTGTCATTTCATTTATTCGGCGTTTTTAGCTCAGGTATAACTGTCTGCTTGCTGAGCTGGTACTCCACCATTCAAGCAAAATGCCAAGAGCTGCTCAGAGACAATTTTTCTGGAAGACACTGCTAGTGGGTATAAATAACCAGGAAGGCTGAGGAGACAGCATTAGGAAAGTCATGGCAAGATCCTCTTCACTCAGTTTCCCCACTGTGCTACTTCCTTTCTGAACAAGAAAGCTTCTGCCACCTGGTTGATTCTGAGCCTAGCTATGATACTCTGAATAATCTGGAACTCTGCTGCATGGCTGGCTATTCCAAAAAAGTTACCTATGACTTTTACCTGAAATCAAACAGAGCTAAAGGAGCTTTCTCCTGGTGTACTTCCTACAGGTCAGTCTTCGACTTTAGGCATCTAGGCCTGGGTACCTCTCTTCCCACAGTCACTTCACATTTACAAAAGGAAACTCATAGGACTTTGAATAGTTCCAGGAACCCACTTATTTCTCTTTATCTTATTAAATAAGGCGTGTAGTAGGAGCTTTCCAAGGTTAACTAAAATGACTGACAAAATAAGATACTGTTTTCTTTGGCCTGGTGTAAATGCTATGGTCTATTCTGGTCTATGTTAAGGCCACTGTAACAGTTTAAGCCTTTTTTTTTCTTTTTTCTGTCTGTGGGACTTATCTGATCCTACCCAAATTCAGTCTTTTATAACCATGTCCCTCATCCTCCTCTTCTCTGACCATGGTAGGAGAACTTGAGAGCACTTATAAACGAATCTTATTGTTACAATGTGCACGCATCTCTGGGCTACTACTCTGAGACAAAAGTACACAGGAGTCTATGGCTTTGATTTTTACCGTTCTGAATTTCTGACCATGACTTGTCTCAACTTTCTAATCTAGGCAACAAGGGAAAATAAGTTCTTAGACTTGGCATCGCCTTGCTTATTGGTTTGTTATATAGTCATATATTTGCTCCACTTTGCATCTGCTGTTCTGCCAGGTTTCAACTCCAAGGAAAGAGATTCCCCTCCCAGGATAAGCTCATCACTTCTAAACTCACCACCCTGCTGCTAATTCAAGTCCTGATTGACACCCTGTCCCTCCCTTAGTCTCTCCTCCTCTCTGATTAGAAGGCTAGAGGGCAGAGTACCAACGCCCTCCTAATGCCTTCCTTTAGTAGAAACTGCTTCTACTGCTCTGCCTGGTGTTTCAGCTCCCTGGTGTGTCTCCCTCTCCCCTTTTCCTGGCTCCTTCTGTGTGTCTCCCTCCATCAGATTGCAAGTTCCTTGAGGGCAGAGACTGTTCCCTTTATTAACTGTATCCCCAGTGCTTAACACAGTGACTGGCACATAGTAGGCACTTAATACACGATTATACGATTGGAAAATTATGTCCATATGATATCACATTTTTTTGGTGAATGATAGGATAAAATATATCCTCAAAGGGGGATATGATAAAGATGTCATGTGATAAAGATGTAAAAACTTACATTTGAATGGATTAGTAAACTTTAGTTTGAGAAAAACAATTGGATTAGACTTTCTATATGTGATTGGTTACCAAATGTTTTCTATTAGGTAAAACAATATACTTAAAGGAGTTTTGATAACTGTAACTGTAGTAGCCTTATAAATTCTGCTTTTGTGACAGTAAAAACAATAACAAAAGTTTAAGTAAAGATGACAGTAAATGGTATATTTTAAATTTGACCTGCAGATAATATAAAACTTGACTGAA